AAGCACATTATTATGAGATTCAATATAAGTGCTATAAGGTCTGATTTAACACATGTGAAGTGCATCTTCCACTATTGTTAACCATCTGCACTATCACTGCATATTTCTTTCTTTCCTCTTTATATATAACCACTTAATTTGGAGGAATCATCAAACATTTTTTGAAAGGTTGTATTTTACTTTTTTTTTATTGTCTCTGCATTGGTGTTTTCTCTTGCTCCACTCATTACTTCTTTATTATTTCTTGTTGGTAGTTTTGGGGAATTGTACCAGAGTGTGTAGCGATTTTTAACACTTTTAATCCTGCTTAAGCACACAGACTGTGTTTTATCTCACCATTACAATCTATAATGAATGTAGCGGGCGCCTCATCTTCCTGTCTGCCTGCACCTGCCATGCCTCAACTTCTGTCGGTCCTCTGGCTAACCGTAAAACATAGGGCTCAATTTAAAATTCTCGTGCTTGCATACTAATCTCTACATATCGCTGCTCCAACCTACTGTTATGCTACTTGGGTGATTTGGATTGGAACTCAACTGCAGCTTGTAAAACTCCCTAATTACAATAGTGAAGAAACGGAGAATCTTTAAAGTATCAATACTGTAGCTTTAAGAAAGGAGAGGATTGCTGGCACTTTGAGAATCAAATGAAGTTTTAATAATTGTTAAACTTAATGAATTGCATTTAGGCAATAATCCAATAAGAATAAGTGAAAGTCATTAAACAATATAAAGTTCATCAATAAGTATTTCCTCAGAGATATATTAAATAAGATTCATTAGGTTGCTAGGAATAATCTTCAATAATGATATTTAGCAGGTAGCAAAGTATTTGCAAAGCAAGAAACAGTTCCTAGTGATTAAGCTTGATGGGAGTTGTCCTCCACATAATTAGTAGCTTGAAGCAGAGAAGTTTTAAGCAAGCAGTAATAGTTCATCAATAAATGAGATAGCAGAGAATAGCTGAAAGGTATACTTAAGGTTAAGGTGAGTTATCCTCCAAGAGTTCAAAGTTATAGTCCACTTGATAATTAACAAGTATCAGTTCTCCAGTAATCCTCCATGGCATGCAGTATCATCCATGCATTAGCTCAAAAGCTAGGACGGCTTGTCAGAGTCTATGGGAGTCGGTTCCACATTGTCAGAGCCTCGGGAGCCAGCAAGTATGGAGGAAGTAGGTCACACAATCCACAAGCCCCCTCTCTATGGCACGGACTGCTTAAGTACAGTCAGAGCCGCGTCAGAGGGGGGCGGGGTCAGCTCCGCATCGCAGAAGTGCCGAACCCGGAAGTGTTACCGCATGACACCTACCTATCCTCACTGAAACACAAGTATTTCATATTCAGGGCCCTATGGTTTGCCGAAGATCTGCATCTATTACCTATTCATACTCACAGCTCTGACTGCCCAAGACTTCTCTAGGGTTGAATTCCCTGTTAAACTCTCACTTAGTCTCAGTTCCTCCAAAGATCATTAAATATTTACTTTTTTAGGAAAGCATATCAATTAAACTGTTAATAGCTTTCATTCCCCACTCCTTTGCAACCAACACTGCTTCCTCTCTTGCAATTGTGTCATCCAAAAAAACAAATCTTTTACTGTAAACCATTGTAGCAACCTAATTTTTCCAGTAAATAAAAATACATCCTCCCTTACCTCTTGTGCCAGATTACCCCACTTCTTCTAGAAAGTAAACTTGTTTGAGCTTGGCCCTCAACACCCTCTGTTCCTATGCATCCAGCTTGTCTTGTTGCAAATATATGTCCACCTATTGTACAGTGCTACGGCATTTTGTTATTTATAAATAATAATAATATCTCAGATATACGCCAAAGCAAAATATAAAGCACAATGGTTTTTAATGAAGCTGCCTGACACTGAGCATTGGTGTGCTCAAAATCTCCTTTGGCTTTTCTTATTTATATTACTGAAATAAAAAAAATTTAAAAGTTGAATTTGTAAGTTGAACGTGGGCTACTGTGCCATAAAATGCCATGGTCTATTTTACCTCCCAGGTCAGCCCTGACAGCTAGTCACACACAGCCACACATATTACTCACAGCTGCCAACACACAGCAATACACACTACTCACGGGTACCCACACATCACACATTGTCACATACATCACTCACAATGGCCCGAAGGTATCACTCACAGCTACCTCATACATCAAATACAGAAAGAAACAACACACACCTCACACACAACTACAAAACTTACAGTAACCCTACATACAATAGACACCCACCCACAATACACATTCACTAAACATTTTAATAATTATTGACATTACTTAACATTATAAAACAACAAAGGGGAAGAACTTCCTGGTTCATACCCAAATGAAATGGGCTGCGCACAACAATGGTCAGGTTTTTTGCACTTCCAGAGACCATAACTTTGTATTGAGGCTACAACATTATACGCTAGATACCTTACTTTAACTGATTACAGTGTCCTTTGGATTTATACCTACAGACCAGCACAGCAGCTCTCAGTTCTTATTTTGCCCAGTGTTTCATATCTACTTGGTCCTTCTTTTAATTCTTCTTGGCCAATTCTGTGAGCCTGTATAATAGCTGGTGGATATTTCTATGGACTATTATTTAGCCATTGCTACTTTACCTGGATTTTATTGTGGGATATTTACACTTTTATAGTCACCTCCTAGCGGCTGTGCTTTTAGGACATGTTTGATTATTGTGTTCTTTTTTTTTTTTCAATTTGACAATTTTTATTTTTATTTGTGTTGGGTACAGAAGGGAAGAAGGGGAGGGGGTCAAAAGATGTTCATGTCAGTATACAATGCTTGTAAAACCATAACGTCCTTGATCTGCATCTCAACGACTTACATAATTCAATAAGTGCTACTTTACGGTGGCTTAGTGGGATGGGGAGAGGGTACAGAAAACAAAAGGGGAGGGTTTAGGCATATGAACGGGTGGGTAAGCTTGTTTCCCTTCTAAAGCTCCCTTTTATTAAGGGTCAGTCTCATGCCCCATGAGTGTATTATTCGGAGAGCTCTGGTTCCACCTTTAGATTTTTTTTTTTCTTCCACTCCTCCGACTATGTAGAGGAGGACTGCCCTGCTTCTGAACTGCTACCCACTGGAGAGGGGAGTTGAAAAGAGGGGGGGTATAACTGGAGTAATCGTTATGTTCTTATGTTACCTTGGGTGTCTAGTTATGCCTAGTTTTGTCACTTTGAGCCTCATCCTATCCTAACAGGGTCACTGGTTCCCTTGGTTTCTACATATGTCGTCCACATTGCATGTGCTGTGGTGCAACCTTTTCCCGTTTTTGTTTGGTTCCACATGGCCACTTCATATTCCAGTGTGGTAGAGACTAGTGCGACTACCTCTGACACTGTAGGGTTATTCGGGGTCTTCCATTGTTTGGCTAACAATGTAGTGGCTGAAGAGAGTGTGATGAATATGATTTTAGCTATGCAGTGGGGTACTCCTCTTGGCATGTGTTTGAGTAGTATGGTTTCAATTGTGTTTTCTAATATGCACCCTGTGGCCCCCTGTATGAGTTTCGCTATTTGTTCCCAGTAGGGCCGCACCAGTTCGCATGTCCACCATATATGGAGTTTAATACCCTCCTCTGACAGACATCTCCAGCATCTGTCGCTCGTGTTCGGGTATATTGCCTTTAGTCGGGTGGGTACCATGTACCCAGTGGCGTACATACCAGGGTCGCAGGGGTCGCGGCTGCGACTGGGCCCGGCCCACCAGGGGGCCCGGCCTCCCCTGCGACCCGGTATGTACCCACAGGGCCAGCCTCTTCCCCTGGGGGACCCAGGAGCCGACCACCCCAGGGCCCCCCGAGGCTGGCCCTGCTGACACCCGGCAGGCGGGCGCGTGAGGGAGCACTCAGTGCTTCCTCTTCAGCTCCCTCGCGCACCGCACTGATCTTCGGTTTATGACGGAAGATGACGTCATCTTCTGGCGCCGGCATCCCTATGCAGCGCGCGAGGGAGCTGAAGAGGAAGCACTGAGTGCTCCCTCGCGCGCCCGCTTGCCTGCCCAACCGGCCACCCGCCCAGGAGCCCAGCAGCACCACTGGACCCCAGGGAATCCCCCCAGCACTCCAAAAGGTAAGGAGGCTGGGGGGATTACATAAAAAAAAAAAAAAAAGTGTGTTAGTGTTAGTGAGTCTTAGTGAGAGTGTGAGTGTTAGAGTTAGTGTGTGTGTGTGTGTCTGCTAGTTAGTGTGAGTGTGAGTGTGAGTGTTAGTGTGTGTGTCTGCTAGTGAGTGTCAGTGAGTGTGTTACTGTGTGTGTCTTACTGAGTGTGTGTGTGTGTTAGTGAGTCTGTTTGATGTCTGTTAGTGAGTTTGTGTTTGTCAGTGAGAGTGTATGTTTTGTAAGTGAGTGTGTATGTATGTCTGTTGCTGAGTGTGTCTCTGTCAGTAAATGTGTGTGTCTGTTAGCTAGTGTGTATGCGTCTGTAAGTGAGAGTGTGTGTGTCTTCAGCACTTACCTTTCTCCAGCGCCGGACTCCCTTGGCGCTGGGGATCCCTCAGCCTCTCAGCTCCGAATGCGACCGCGCACGCATTCAAACCGCCCATAGGAAAGCATTACTCAATGCTTTCCTATGGACGTTCAGTGTGCTCCTGTAGCGGCTGTCAGTGAGACAGCCACTAGAGGCTGGATTAACCCTCAGTGAAACATAGCAGTTTCTCTGAAACTGCTATGTTTTCAGCTGCAGGGTTAAAACTAGAGGGACCTGACACCCAGACAACTTAATTGAGCTAAAGTGATCTGGGTGTCTGTAGTGGTCCTTTAAGTGTGTGTGCATCTGCATGCACTGGCGTGCATACCGCGGTCGCAGGGGTCGCAGCCCTGTAACCCCTGCGACCAGGTGCCCAGCCCGCGCGGGGGGGGGGGGGCCCATGGATCAATTTTCGCACCGGGGCCCCATGGGTCATGTGTACCCCACTGCATGTACCACCTATACAGTAGTTTCCTTGCGGCCTCCAGGTGAGACGCGCAGGTGGTTAGTCCCCTATGATTTCTGTAAATGCTGTCCCATTCTTCCTGCGTGATGGATCTACCTATATCCTTATTCCAATCATCTATAAAGCGCCAGATAGGCTCCTTTTTAGGGGAGTTAAGGTGCTTGTAAGTGAGTGATAGGGTTTGGTGGATCGGTGTTAGGTGGAGACACATCTTTTCGAAGTGTGTGAGAGTGGTATCGAATGTTGGTGTGTGGCCTTTCTCCTCCTTGTTGCTAATTATTGGTTTTAGTTGCCAGTACGAGAATTTGAGATGTGGTGGAATGTTGTATATTGTCTGTAAAAAAATTTTGCGTTTGTGGCCCTTGCAAGGTGCATACCTGGTGTAGGTGTGTGATTTTGCATCTTTGCCATGCTCTGTATGGGAACGTGTCATTGCATGGACATGGTGCGCAGTGGAGTTGCCATGGACCAAGGCCTGGCGGAGCATAGGGCGGTTCTATGAGTGTCCCAGTAGGTGTACATTAGTTTAGTCGTGGGTAGTGTACCTTGGGCCGTGCGCCTTAGTTCCTTGGGTGCCCAAACTGATGCTGGGAGGTTCGCGACCTCGCCGCAGCTGGCTTCGATTTCTATCCATTGGGGCGTGTATGTGGGGGTGTGCATGGTGAGGATATTAGTTATCTGGGTTGCTTGATAATAGGCCTTGATACTCGGTCGGTTTCATTAGGAGCATTCTTGGTACCCTGGGATGCTTTCCACCCCAGCTAAATCTGATTAGGGTAGACTGCAGTCTTTGTAAGTAAGTCTGGGGGAGGTGTATTTGCAGGGAGCGAAACAGGTATAGGATTTTTGGGAGTATTGTCATTTTAATGGCCGCTATTCGGTCCAGCCATGAGAGATATTTGTTCTGCCATGTCTGTAGGATGTATTCCACTTCTTTGAGGAGTCTAGTGTAGTTGGCGGCGAAGAGGTCTGTGAGTCTCTTGGTCAGTTTTATGCCTAGAAATGTGAGGTGGTCGTCCCTCCAGTCGTAATTAAAGTTTCTTCTGTATCTTTCCTCGTCAGTCTTAGCCACATTGATGCACATGGCCTGGGTTTTGGACAGGTTTAGTTGGTAGTATGAGTTGTTGCTGTATTTCTGAATTTCTTTCTGCAAATTTGGTAGGGATACTGTCGGGTTGGAGAGTGTGAGGAAGATGTCATCCCCGAAGAGGTTCAACTTGTATTCCTTGCCCCATATGGTGATCCCCTGTATGTCTTGGTTGTTGCAAATGGCTATGGCCAGCGGTTCAAGGGCTAGTACGTAGAGTAGTGGGGAGAGGGAGCAGCCCTGTTGGGTGCCGTTTGATATATTAAATGTATTTGAGCTGAAGCCCAAGTTCAGAACAGTGGCCGACGGCGAGCTATAAAGTGTTTGGACCATATTCAGGAAGGTGGGTGGAAAACTGTACCTATGTAGCGTCTCGTGTAGGAATTTGAGCCAGTCAAACGCTTTTTCAGCGTCTAGTGAGAGCATCGTGCACTGCTGTTTGGACCGGTTGAGATAGTGGAGGATATCTAGTACTTTGCGGGAGTTATCTGGGCCTTGTCTGCCTGTCACGAACCCCACTTGGTCCGTTGCGATCAAATTGGGTAGTAGGTTTTTTTAAATGTTCCGCATATATTTTTGCATACAATTTGGCGTCTGCATTTAGCAGTGAGATGGGTCTGAAGTTTGGACATTGTGTCGGCGGCTTGCCTGGTTTCGGGAGGGTGATAATATGGGCCGCTTAGAATTCGGGTAGCACAGAGCCCTGCACTGTAGCGAAGTTAAGGGCTCGTGTACCGTAGGGCTTAATGTGGTTTTGAAGGTGTTATAGTAAAGATTAGTGAGGCCATCTGGGCCCAGGACTTTTGCTTTTGGCATGGATTCAATTAGCCGTGTTACCTAATGAGTAGAGATCAGTTCTGAGGTGGGCAACTTAGTGGCCTGTGAGCTTGGGCAAGTCGATCCCTTCTAAGTAGCCTTTGAGTGTGGTGTGTGTCGGCTGTACAACTGAATTGTTGTCTTTTAGATTGTAGAGGGAACTGTAATAGCTCGCGAATGCGTTGCATATTTGCGTGGGTTGTAATAATTTCTGGCCAGAGGACGTCAGAAGATAGGGGATTTTGGTTTGTGCTTGCCTGTCTCTGAGTCTCTGGGCCAATGCTTTACTAGCTCTGTTCCCCATTACAAAGGTTGTGGCTTTTAATTTTTTGATTGCGTAGCTCGCTTTTTGAAAATTTGCTGTGTTGATGTGCCGTTGGAGTTTGGATATCTCGTCTTGTGTGCTTTTGGAGGGGGTGATTTGAGAAGGTCGTGTAGTTTCTTCAGATTCTGAATATGTGTTGTGTGATATGTTTTCTTAAGGTAGGAGGCTCTGCGTATCATCAATCCCCTGATCACCGGTTTGTGGGCCAGCCAAAGGGTCATGGGGGATATGTCTGGGGTGTCATTGTTATCGAGGTATGCCTGCATGTCCTGCTGTAGCGACTGGACAAACTCTGGGTCGTTTAGAAGTTGTTCATTCAATCTCCAGGGGCTGCGTTTTTTTTCCGTAATAGTGAGTGTCACAGGGCTGTGGTCTGACCAGGTGGATGTCCCTATCTCACATGTTCTCACCCTGTTTAGGTGTGCACCCTGTAGTAGGAAGCCATCTATCCTTGAAAATGTGTTGTGTACCTGTGAGAAATGAGTGTATTCCCTGTCTTGTGGGTGCAGTGTTCGCCAGACGTCATAGAGACCCAATGTGTGTAAAAGTTTAGTCAAAGACCTGCAATGTTTGTGGAGTGTTTTAGCTCTTTGTGACGAGTGTTTTGCTGTCGAGTCCAGTAGAGGGTCTTGGTACTGGTTAAGGTTCCCGCAAAGGACAGTTGTGCCCATCTGCAGTTGTGCTACGAGTGCCAGTAGCGTTCTGAGGAAGCTACCCTGGTTTACATTAGGGAGGTATGCATTTACAATAGTGTAAGTGGAGTTGTTTATGGTGCATATCAAGATAAGGTACCTTCCCTTTGGATCTTGCCTTACCGTTATTTCTTCATACGCCAAGTGGCGGCTGAGGAGGATAGAGATCCCTTCAGTGCGATGGTCACCAGGGTACCCGGGCCATAAGGTGCATCTGGGTTGTCATGCTGGCATCCCCTCTCCCCCCCGCCACATTCCCAGTGCTATCAACCCCCATATAAGGATACATCTGAATGGTTGATACTGGGTACACATTTGCAGCCTCGACCAGAGCCACTGTATGTTAGTTCATATTTGTGTGTACTCTGCTTTGTTTGTTTTGCCATTTTTTTTTTTTTTTTACTCACTGTCCCGAGAGTGGAGACTACGGTCTCATCTGCATGCTGCTTGTGTGGGGGGATACCCCAGGCTGTTTATTGAACGGGTCGCGAGGTGTTCCGTCTTTGTTTGGCTTGTTTCCATTCCCTCTGCAGCTTGTCGCCTTGGGCTTGTCCCACCGGGACAGGAGGCTCCGCTATGCCCCACGAATGGAGAAGTTCCGCGCTTTCCTGAATAGAGGTGACTGTGTGTAGTTTGCCTCCTTTGGTGATCAATAGTTTAACTGGATATCCTCATCTATAAGGAATGGAGTGTTGTCGTAGCATATCTGTGATGCTCCGATATGATCTCCTTCGCTTCAGGGTTTCCGCTGAGAGGTCGGCGAAAATCATGTTGTCTTTGAACTTAGCAGGTAGATCTCTTTTATTGCGGTGAGTTTTCATGATCAGTTCTTTTATATGGAAGAAGTGTACTCGCATGAGCACATCCCTAGGGGTGGTCGGTGAGAGATGACTCGATCTGGCCACTCTATGGATCCTGTCTAGGACCAACATGTCCCCTGGTATGTCCGGTATTATGGAGTGGAAGAACGTTGCATATGCAGTGAGTTCTGGTTGTGGGACGTCTTCAGGAATCCCTCTTAGCCGGAGGTTATTCCGGCGGGAACGGTCATCGAGGTCCATCGGTTTGTTGTCATACCGCTCCATTCTGCTTCCCAGGTCCTCCATTTTGTCTGCCATGGTGTTGTGGGCCATGGATACCTCCTCCATTTTGCCCTCCAGCTGTGAGGTCCGGTTACCCCGGTCCACAATGTCTTTTCTTAAATCTTCTATTGCCTCCATCACTGTTGCCGGCATTTTGCCGGCTACCTCATCTAACATGCGTTGCTGGATCGCCATTGTCACCATGTTGCCATCCGTGTGATCGCTCTTGTAGTCGGCACCATCTTGGGCCTGCAGGTCTGATGGTTTGTGAGACGGTGTTCGGGCGGTGAAGAAGAAGGCTGCCTTATCTTTTGCCTCCGTCGCCTTTTTGGAACGGTTCTGCGACATCTTGGGAGTAGGTTGTGGATCGCTTTTGTGCTGATAAATGCTGGGATATGCTTGATTTTTAAGCCGCCACGTCGGAGCTCGCTCAGTCCGCGTCCATCCGGCTCGAGCTGCGCCTCCCCCCCCCGATTATTGTGTTCTTAATAAACCAATACATTTTTTTAACATACAATAGGATATCTAATTTTAATTTTATGTTGTTTGAAGTTTATATTCGAAATTTCAGTGCACTCAATACTGTTATTACAGAAAATTATTCTCAATATGCTACTACAGAAATTGAACAATTTTTCTCTGCAATGGATCCTAGTGAATTTCTGAGATGATACCCGTTAACCATATCATAAGTCCACTTGGCCCACTCTAAGCATTCCCTGTCAACTTTGAAGGTGCACACTTCTCCAGTGTGTGAAATGCTTTTGAAGAACAGAGTTTATGTACCCATGTCTAGTTACAGAAGTGAAGACAAAGACACATTTTCACCCCTAGCAGTCATATTGTTGCATTTTCATTGTTAGTCCATCTTGCACACAGGATCTGCTTCAAATAGGTTCCCTGAAAAAAAACAGGTCAGGAAGCACAAAAAAATATGTTAAATACATTCCTTTTTTAACGTTTAACATTTCCATGGAAATTTAATGATTTCAATACCTAGCTGAATCTAAAAGACATATTTACAATCAAAGAAAAAAATCCGGGTACTTTACATGTGATTCCTTTTCTTTTGATTAATAATGATAGTAAAAAGCAGTTATGAGCACTTTCAGATGTCCTGGTTAACCATGAAAAGTAAATTTTCAAATAATCACATACAGGGGCCTATAAAGTCAAGGGGTTTCAGTGAAATGCAGCGTGAGATAAAGACGGTGTGCGCTGTAGTATTTTTTAACAAAGTGATCTCTGCTCTGTTACCATATGTGCACGATTCCTATCTAGAACACATGACCTTTGGGGCACAGCACTTCATTGTAAGGTCTGGTTAACCAATGCAAACATAACAGTTACATAAACCCTATGATCTATTAACTGTTAGTGTTAATTATTAAAGGACAACAAAATATCCAACAGTTATAAATAAGAACTAGATACAGCACACAAATAACTGTATGTTTATGCACATTAGAATGGGAGATACAATAT